TTTAAATTAGAAAACTATCAAATAATATGCTCCATTTTTAATTTTTATTTAATTTTTTCTCCAATAGAAGTAATATTTTATATGTATTGAATATTAGATATCCTTATTAATGCTTGTTTCCAATAGATTTAAGAAAGTATCCGTTAATTTTATATTAGAATAAAATTGATTTTTCATCTAATGTTATTCAATTTTTTTATTTATCCTATAAAAGTAGAAAAATTGCATATTTTTTTTATTTGATTAAAATATTGAACTTTTTTGTTGATTTTATAAAATGTTACACGCATCAATTTTTTATCATTTAATTCGCAACAAAAGTGAAAAAAAAATAAAGGAAAATATCATTGGGAAAACAGGCCAAAAACGAATAGAAAATGAGCACATACTCGAATAAATGATGACGCACTATGGATAGAACTAAATTTAATAACGGCAAACCAATGATTGGCTCAATGTGCAGAAGTTCCGGCTTGTAATCGGCTCAAACGATTGTTTAACTTTATCGCGCAACTGCTAACGCAAATCCCGTATACGTAGAAACACATTGCGTACTTGCGATCAGGATTCCATAAACCAAAACTATCGCGAGCTAATGCCAGATCTCTCTTCGTAATGTATTCTCGACGAATAATGGATTTATGACGTACGCGTTAGGCTTGAAATATGCACATTACGGATTAATATCGTTGCCACGAAATTACGCATCTAATGCACAAGACTCTTTATACAATAATTATGGTTTGACAATTTTCATTTATATATGTAATGAGTTATATAATTTGTAAAAATATAAGTTTAGTATTTTATAATTTTAAACGTATTGCTTTAAAGATATCTTAGCTAGTTGCTAAAAAATCATATTTGTTAATTTATTTATATAATAATTAAAATTATGATAAAAAAAGTAAAAAAATTAATTAAATTAATACAAATGTAATTGATGTAATAAATTATATATAAAATTAAAAATCTGAAAATCCACATGTTTTTTAAAGATTTTTGTACAAGTCGGCATAATTTTTACTATCAGTGATCAATACTATTATACATTGATATCATTTATTTTGTTTAATTAACAAGAAAAAGATAATTTGTTATTTGCGTTTTGTTACTCGTCCCGATTTATGATCAACAACTAGATTAGCTTTATGGAAAAAACAAATTAACACCTTTTTATCTGAATTGGTCTAGAGTGCTTTGTTATCGAGACACTTCACTTGAAGAGATATATATTGGTTTGATAGCACGAATATGATGATAACGGCTTTATCGCCGCAAATTTTTTAGGATGAAATTTAGCCCTTCAAGCGAGATGCATTATATACATACATATATATGCTAATTTGTGAGCGGTAGCGAATGGCGTTGAGTAATGGAGAAAACTAGTAGCTGTCACTCTGACTCTTATAGCAATGGTCAGTAAGGTACAGAGTTACAATGGAACTTTTCTGTTCGTCTAATTGTCCTAACGACTGACCTCCATTGTCCACGTTCCCTTATCTCCCCTCCTCGTACTTTCGACGCTTTGTTCCTCGCCCACTTTTATATTACAGTTAATACTAATATAGTACCAGTATTATAGCGCTTTTTTTAATAAACTTAATTTACGTGACATAATAAATATTCTATACTCTCATCATTCACTTGGTATCAAATGTAATCAATATAAATCCAATTCTCAACTTAAAACTGCATCTGACATTTTAGATAAAATTCAGTGTAATTTCTAATTTAAATGCTTAATATGCAAATGTGATTATCTTAGATATGATAAAACAGATATCACATTTTGCATTTTTAAACGTATTTCATAATTTCCCGGAAGTTTCCGAACACTTTTCAAAATTAATCGCTCGAACAATATGGAATTTGTCCCAATCTGTATTTAGTTAACGTCAGTGAGAGTTCAGTACTCCGCAGTTAGCATCGATTCCCGATCGGCGGAGCGCTCTGCGGCTCATTAAAACGACTGAAGTCGGCTTTTGCCTCGGATTTCCGAAGCATATACCAGATAATTAATGGTAAACGCATCGTGCGGCGGTGATAGGCGGACTGTGCGACTGCATCTTGCCACGGTCAAGACAGGTGCCACGGGTATCGAGACAGTACCGCGATCGCGGGGTTTGTGCGTCGAATGAATAATGCGAGTGCACTCGCATCCCAACGTTCGATCGTACGTATGTAAAAAAAAGTAAAATTGTCGGGGTGCTCCACCTCGGTATTATCCGCTCATACGTTCATTCGTGCGAGGTATGCGAGACGCGTCGAGTACGCATACACGCGCGTCCGTGTCGAAGACTAAGGAAGAACGAGACGTGAGAGAGCCCATCGTAGGCAATAAACTCCCATATGCCGAAACGGAGAGTGAAGCAAAGCTCGCGTTCATTGACCATCGGACTGTTTCCTAGCATCTCCGGTTCCATTCACGACAACAGGACGTGGTTTGCAGTAAATTAACGTTAGGCGTAGAGCTGCGGTAGCTATGTACGTTTGCGTAGAATATGTACTGCCACAGTCGTATTGATCGTTCATTTAAAACTCGCTCAGTAAGAGAAACTTTGGATAGGAATAACGTCAAATAAAACATAATTTGCGTTATTTTTGCGAATAATTTGATTAATCGGCAACGTGGTAATATTTCAGATTTCCGGTTTACGTTTTATCAATATAGGATATAATATATAGGATATAATATATTATACAAATGCTGTATTTGATTTTAAAGGCAATAATAAATAGTTGCTATTTTTATATAAAAGAAACTAGTTCGTTTGTCGTCGAAATTAGTCGAAACCGTTGTTTCTTATAAAAAGAAAGTATATCTGACATACAATTCTAAATCAAAACGTCTTTTTTAAGCTACGTAATTCGAATAGCCGCTTGCACACAATAACATTCTTAAAAGTTTGCTGAAATATCACACTAATTTCTCGTATAATCGTGTATTCTCTTGGAATTAGCTGCTTTCGGGATTTTTTAAGCAAAAATTAAGTGTCATTTAATCGGATTCCACATATAGCAATCGACGATATTTCATTATAAACTTTTCTTATTCGAAAGTAGTATAAACTAAAGATGCTTATACACAAACGTATTTAAATTAATGTATTACAAACGTGATTAAATATTTACTTGCAATCAATTGGATTGTTCCATCATTTTTTATTAAAATAATTAAATAATCTGTTGTATATTATTTGTATGTACGTAAAATATTTTTGTCAAACAAAATTTGTTTCGAAAAATTGTTTCGAGACACAAAATCGAGAGTGTAGTTCCTCAGCGAGAATTTCACGGCTGTTACGGCCAATATTCTGTCACCGTGTATCCACCAATTGACTTAATGATCCGAGTGAATCTATTCTCGATGCAGGACCTAAGTGCATACACGAGGTAACATATTGGATGCTCACACGGTTAACAAGCATCTGAGCAAACAATCTCCAACAGCCTTGACAAAGCAGCTGTGACCCTTGCAATTGGTAAGCTTCAGTATTTGGGAAATACGTTGAAAATCACAAAAGATCACAACGTATCGGCTTCTAATCTTTTTTAATAAAATAATGAAAAACAAAATTCATTAATGTAAAATTATCAATGCCAGAAAACGTTACAACTTATATATATAATATATCGATAATAAATCCAAAATTCTCGTATCCCGAATTTTTGACCAATTTCACTTTCTCTGTTATTATGAAAGTATTTTTATTTTTTTTCAAATTTTTTTGAAAGAATCCCAAAAATTTATTTATTAATAACTTAAAATTATTTTAAATTTAAAGTTTGACAAATTAATCGGAATATGTTACAACTAAACAGTTTTTAATGTCTTATGTAAAATTTGGATCTTTTTAGTTACAAAGTTTTGAATTTAAGGTATCAACATATAATTATTTTTTATATTTATTTTATGATAATTAAAAAATACAAAAGTCAAAGAATTAATATACTATTTTTGTTGTCTTTATAAAGAATTCGATGTTTTTACTGTTAGAAATTTTTAACTTATATGTGTCTAATCTTGCACAAATAAAATAATTTTTAATGTAACAATTCAAGTGTTTCCAGTGGTCAGCTATGGTTTCTGAATGTATGAATATTATCGACATTTGGCTATCGGAGATACATTGAATGTATAAGTGTGTATATGTACGATAGACACACACTGTACACGATAGGTCACTGCATTAGAATAGAGGTATAGAAGCATTGTAGCTTCTCTCATTCCTATTATGAAATTCATATCAAATATCTTATGTAATAATTTTCCATTAATAAGAATCATGATATCTGGAAAGATATCGATCTTGTGATTAAAATTTTGTTCCACGAATTGTATTAATTGCAAAGATAGAATGAGATGATTCTGGCAAGAGAAAAGGAAATTTCAGTGATAACATCACTGATAAAAATATTGATTTAGTGTATTGAAAACACTTGTGTGTAATCTACCCGATGAATCATACTTCAAAATAGAAAGTGCGTATGATACGTAAGTAATGATTTGAATATTTTCAATTCTATTAAAAATCTAATTATAATAATTATCAATTTTATAATAATAAAAAAAATATCAGATACAGTATATATATATATATATATATTTATCAATATATATAATATACATTCCAACAAAAATAACAATAAATTATAATAATTTAACTTTGACTAATTAAATCTTAATTTTATTTTTTTAATGAGTAAAATAATATAAAAATAATACTAAAATTGTAAAATAAATCAAAACGTGAAAATATACGTATAATCTTATCGATTTATTGTATACGGAATTTATGAGAAATTGTAATAATCAGATTTTATTTTAAACACTGATATCATGTTGTTTCAGTATGCAGTGTGACGCGCATTCGTATTGATCAGAATAGCTTTTTCGTAGAACGTATCTTTCCAGAACAAGGTTGTACATCAGTAAAATAATCATGATAAGCCGAGCGATAAGCGATTATTGCGTGTATTTAAGCGCCGATCGCCAGCTGTGTTGGCAGAACTCGAGTAGCCTTCCTACAGTGATATCGGCGCGCAAGTTTTCGAGTGCAAGTAGACCAAAATGTCGGCACAGAAATACATAATCGGTCTGACCTTTTTGGTCGCCGCTCTGTTGGCCATCAACTTTGTACCCGCAAGTGGTGCTGTTAATTCCTATGCCGCCGCCAACAACAAATCGCACCATCTGATTGTTGGCTACAGGATGCCCGGTGACAGACTCGTGTTAAGACAGAATATCGTCAAGAATTCTTCCTGGATGCAAATTGTAACTGTCGAGAAGACCTTCAATACCTCTGCTTGGGAACGTATAACTCAACTTCAAGCGTTAGACCAGAAAACAAATGGCAATGGTGCTTACGCCAGTATCCTACGAGGTGGACCGGCACACAGCAACGTCACCATAAAGTTCAAGAGCCAGAGGGGTCATGGTATCAACTTCATCGTTGAGCTTTACGCACGTTAATCAATTTTGATAAGAGCAGTTAACACTACAACACTACCGGTGCGATGATTTCTGGACGCAGTCAGAATGGAGAAGTAAAACAACTAATTTTAAAGGCAATAACGTCAATTTCATATATATGTTCTGAACTATTTATTTTTACAACACTGTTATTATTGCCGCTAAAAGAAGACAAGTCATTCTGAATACTCTTCACTGTACTATTGCTGTTATATGTATATCACAAATAAATTCAAGAAATTAATGCAATTGTTTATTTTTATTTTAAATTCTATTAGATTTATAGCCCCAAATATATGTAGCGCAATATATGTATGTTATTTGCGAAACAAATTAATAAACTAACACGAGCAGTATCTGTGTTAGTAAATTAACAATACATACGGAAATATCAGACCGATAACATATGGAAAAACCATCATTCATTTTTATAATGCTATGCATTCATCTTTATTAATTAAATTCTTTGTGTCATCAGCGGTACTCTCATTATTATGCGATACGAGATAAGAAGAATATGGATGATGATGCGAATACGAGCGTTCGGGAAGGAATTTCAAAGAAGTGTCGATAATAACGTAATTAGCGACGAGATGAAACGCGACAGCAATCCGGAATAAAAACGGACCGCGAAGAATCCACTCGTGGAATGTCTTTCTTGTATGCGCTAATCAAGTACCGCCCGCTTCCTACGAGGCTCCTGATAATTTCCCCTTTTTTTCTTTCCGCCTCTTCGGAGCTCGAGGCGGAATCCTCGCTGGCTTCAGCCAGAGAGTTCGGGAAGGTCGTCTCCAAAGAACCGTGCGCGGCAACTGCGGCGGGGTACGAGGAAGCGGCGGGGAACATCTTCTATTTCCGAGGCTTACGTACAAAGTACGTTTTGCGCATGCATGCATGGCGGCACGGAGGAGGAACAACCGACTGGAAAATTGTTGTCGCTTCGTGGCGCATTCTAGCACGAGGTATCTCGCCGACTAGAAGGAACTTCGAATCGAGTTGAGGACCACTGGAAATTGGTGGCGGTATCTCAAGCTTGCGAACGACCATTTCGTTAACCTACTTATTCTACCTCCCCGTTCCAGTCGCGTTGCTCGCGAAGCCACGCTGAAGTACCTAGTTTGTCCGCAGTTTCCGCTTCTGAAAACTATACGCGGAAGGGAGGAGCGTAATTCGCGGTTCTACGTGGTAGCTCTTCATTGATTACGTTTTAATGGATTTCGCCGGGATGGGCCGATCGCGCGGCACGGCGCTCTCGACGATCCTCTGTTTCCGATGTGTATAAGCGAAGTTATCGGCTACTTCGAATACTTGAATGTATGAAGCATCCCGCCGGCACCGAGTACCGTCACGTTGTCCTAGTTCTGTCATAAACGAAGACAGGACCGCCATACGCGAAGGGATTATATTTGTGGACCAGACAGAAGCATATGCAATTTTTATATATAAAATATGTGAAATTGAGGTCGGGACAAGATCATAATATCAGAGCGTGTTTATCTAGAAAAATATAACGTTTACCATCGAAAATGTTTCACAGAGAAATTAAAAATTGTTTTGTAAAATTATTTCAATTTTGTAGATCTTAATTAAGTTGAAATATTCTGTTTGCTAATTATGTAGATACAAGTGAATGATATCATTCAATCAGCCACCCAGTCAGATGTTTAACGATTATGATGTCATGGAAATAGTGATAAGCGTATTTAAACATATATTTCTGCGCGTTACATGACGTACGTGTATTACTATGTTAAAAATTTTCCTATAAGCAATGTTTGACACATAATAGCATTTAATGAAAATAGATCTTATCGTCAATTCTTTAACGTTAATTAAAAAAAGAATAAAATTTGATATTATAGCACCTATAAATATAAACACATTATTGTGTCATACTTATCATTTATGTCAAGACTAACACATCTATTTACGGAATACGAAGTCATGACAGAATCTAATACAAGTTGAAAAAAATTGAACTAGTTGAAAAAAGTTCCGACACTACAAACTTTTTCTTTTAGTGCGAATCAGATTCTAAACATAGGCGCGAGTCTACCGTAATGTTACACAGGCTATTTTAATAAAAAAAATGAGGTCTAAGATGCTATATGCAGACACTCGAGGATGTAAAATCGGATTGTCCTGAGAATTGCGACATGTGCAACGGTGTATAAGACGGATAATATTATTTCTGTTGTAATGGCATAAAAATAGGAACGCTTATAAACGAGTGTTATATTTGTTCTTTGACGTACATACAAAGTACACGCATGCTTGTCGATCGATGTGACTCTAGAGCTCCACTTCAAATATTGCTGCATTCTCTTTTGTCGCGACGCAGATCGACTTGTGAGTCATTGTCGCTTGTGATATACGTATCTTGTATTTGTATACGCAAGTCGAAAGCACGCGTATATTTTATTTTATTTAAAAAATTTTTATAGATTAAAATGTCCATCTTTAGAAGCACAAAATATAAATGCAGTTAAATGCATTGCAAAATTCGATTTGTTATATGTAAATGCTGAAATTACTCAACCGTTGCACTACCGTGCATAATGCTCATCTTGAAATATGTCAAATACGAATCCTTTCGTGTATATCCTCGACTAAAATATTCCACACGAAGATTCAGAAGAACGCAGTCCGCAACATTTGACCCAAGCCAGGTCATATATCCGATAAGCGACGGACGTGTCTCTAAAAGTCACACGGACCATGTGGCTTGCCATGGAATTACGTTTTATTTTTCTGTCTGCGCGCCGGCCGTGATAAGGAGAGTTCGTGCGTCGTAAAACACGCATGCATAAAAAACCCTGACCGCACCTGGCAGCCGACCGTAATGCAAGGGCATAAGGACCGCGATGTGCAACCCATAAACCTGTCGCGCACGCGTTCGGTTATTGCTTATAAAGTTTCGAGACTGACGAGCACGGACGCATGCGAAAACCGGGATTGGATGGACAACCCGATGACAGGGATCGGGCGAGAACGAATAAAAGCGTGTTTGCATGAGCATAGCTACAAAAGAGCCGCCCGTCAATCCGAAACCGCAGCGGCCATTATCGGGCAATTTTAAACGGAACGCCGTAGTTACGACTCGCGAGCGCGTGCTTTAGATTCTACAGTCGTCAAACAACGCAACAACATCCCGCACTGTTCGGCTCTTGGAATTCATGCAAACTGAGCGTCGGTATACATGCGACAACAAAGGGATGTGGCAAAACGCGTTTTTGAAAAGTGTACTCCCACGAGCCTACGCGGTTATAAAAAAATAAAAATACATTGTAAATAGATATACCAAAATACGATCGTAGTTTCTGTTGCGTGTATGTCAATCTATTGCCCTTTGCTTGTCATCTTTATTATTCGTGCATGTGAAATCGCTGTATTGCAATACATTCTGTCTTGTTTCAAGATACGGATTTATATATATATTTTTTCTTCATTGTAATTAAGGTAATAATTGAATTTTGCATTTTAAAACAGTGAGAGATGGATTTCAGTAAGGAGAAGAGATGGAACGTCATAAGTCGGCGGCATATGCTTCAAGAAGGCAATGCATGTGTAATGCAAGTCAGTCGAATCGCAAGCATTACGCAGCAACTCTTGAACGAAATGGTTCTAATGGATTGACCAACTGACTTGCGTTTTTCGTTTGAAACCTCCTGCGAGTCATTTGAAATCCCATGTAAAAGCTGATGAGTTTAAAGCGCCGTGCGTGTCAGAGTTAAATGCATTCCGCTGACAAGCCATACGCTCCTTCCTCCGTCAAATACATTGTTATGCAGCATACAACTTGAATTATTATGAATTCTTGCTATGATTGTCACAATTATTTTTATTACAAAGTATGTAACGAATTTCAATATGTCATATATGTATGTACATAAACATCTTAATATGTATTTAATATGTATGAATGTATTTATTAATATAAATAATTTTGAAAATTGCATAGAAAATATTATACGACGATTGAAAATTGAAATATAAAAAATAGGTAATTTTGGTTATTGTTTTAGATAATTATTTTGGAATTTCGTATCTTGTAAGCATTCAGGTTGCCATTCTATCGGCTCTGGGTCCTTTGATATCAAAGCTACTGATTGGCCACAAATGCAAGATCAGAGTTCGAACGTCGGCATGTGGATCAACCGTGGGTGTCCTGTGCGGTCAGCTCGTTAACCGGTATGAACTACACATCGACTAAGTAATCTCCGCCTGCTTATATGGAAAGCGCGATTGACTAATACCCTTTGATGCCGGATTCCTTAACGCAATGTCTAATTGTATCTAATTGTATCTCAATGCAAATTGGTAATTTCGTGATTCTGTGTATCAAGTGAATTAATTTGATCTATTTTTCGAAAAAAAGAATGCATTAACTAATCAGAATGTTATAGATTTGATAAACGTGACAGAAACGAACGTATTAGTTTTTTTACTATATTTATATTTTTTAATAACCGTGAGAGTTCATAGGAGTACATTTTTCGAAAATGCATTTTTGTTATATCTCTTCATTATCACCAACGTGTACGCCGACACTTTACATAAATTTCAAGACAAAATCGATACTAAATAATTTTCCGATGCATTTAAAGTAGTAAATAAAATTGTTTATTTTTACCATACATTTGATTCGTATAGAAATTTATCTTTATATGTGCATTGTAAGATAATTGTCGGCGTTTAAATTCAATTCATAGCGACACAGGTGGATAATTCGCCGGCACTATATTTGCCGGGTAATCGCTTAAGATGTCACTAAGTACAGTGATTTTTCTTACGTTCGTACTCGCGGCTAGAGATATGTCCGTAGCAGATAAGCGGAAAGATACCGGAAAGAAGAATTAAAAGAAGATCAGCGTTCCGAGAGTATGCGAATTTTTCAACATCAAACATTCAGAAGGAGCAGGACGGAAAACTAGGGCAACCAGTTTAAAAGCCCAGGGTACTTTAACACTCGGGAGTACTACTCAGTCTCGTCTCTGAAAAATCTTTTTATTCTAACCGTACATTTGTATGTACTCATACATATGTACAGAGCGCGGCAGCGGCACAGTCGCACTTTATTGAGCGAATTTCATTCTCGTTTATAGTTACAACCATCACGAGATACAAGGGAGAGTACCGTAATAATAGAAATCTATAGGGCGCGTATAATTTACTATTCTCGGTCGCAAAAGCTAAAGTAGACATTGTATGGTAAAAATCAATCTAAAAATCCATGTGGTTGTTATATC